TTCATTCATGTTGGTGAATTGCTAATATTGTTACAGTTACGAATTATCCAGAATAGATTGGGACATTCTGGGGCAACTGGGGATATGGTGTTTTTTTTCACCCTCAACAGTCAGGAACGCCACCTCCCAAACAGATGAGGCAAGTCACCATGAATGGAAAAAAGCTTCACACAATGACTACAAGTATGGGTCAACCTTGGTTTGATACTTTAGTATACTTTAGTAGTTTAATTTTGCTATCAATGGTAAAATCTCCTATCCAGCTAAAAAATAGTTTTTTTTGACAGGTATCTAAGATTCACCATGAAGTATGGTGGAACATGCCATGACGCTGCCTTTCCCTGAGAGCGACAGGCTCACATCAGGAAACACCGGAGCTTCGCACACGGCCAATTGTTGTGTCAGATGCTGTAAGATGAGTGTGGGTAAATTAAAGCGACTTCACCATTTTTTGATGGTCAGCAGGAAGGATAATCATCCCAAAATTGCATGATTTACGGTGTGAGAATTGTCTGATGATTTAATTACTCAGTTTCTTAGACCCTAGAACAAGATCAGACACCAAGCTGTCAAGAGTTGAACGAAAAAACAGGGTCCGAATTTGACAAGGATTAACATCTTCAATGAGCGCGAAAGATGGATTACAACGTAAAGAATTTCATGCGAACTGAACATAATAGACAGCCTCCCAAAGTGTGTTTCAACTCAATCCCTTCCCTACCCCCAGGCACTGTTCAGCTGCTGAATCCATTGGCTACAGACGCAACATTTGTGACGTCAAGCGATACCCAAAGACCTACGGCGTGATGATCGCTGTTTTTAGCGCCCCAAAACAATGCACCGCAACAGGATGTGACGGTGGGCGTTGCTGACCATGCTTCTTGAAAGGTCGGTTTCAAGATGAACAGGTCGGGCGACAGAATGGTTCATGGAAATTTGGTTCAAGTACAGACTTGTTCGCAGGCATGAATTTATTGAAGTGAAAATTTACAGATCTTCACCCCAGAGAATGCCAGAGAGACCAAATCATTTGGGCCTCCACCGTTTGGACAAACCACATAATCTGCATTCGAATGTGTGTATTGTAAGTATATTATATGATTAATCATATATATACTGATTATACTTGACACACACACACATAATATATATATATATAATATGAATTAGATGTATAAGTATAACGTAGATGTACATCTGTATGCATGTCTTGGAGATCCATATCGTGTGCTGATCAAAGCTCCATTATCCCCAGCATTGTGCAGCTTTGTGGCCGATTTGTTTGGTCCAAGTGGTGTACTGATGTTCGGCACTGGTGATGATAATCTTTTTCAAGGTCATGTCAATTTTGGGGAAAACACCTTCTCAAACACAAAGAAGACGGAAACTCGTCAAGCAATGTCTGCAAAGTCCTTTCCGCAACAATCCGAAGCAACATTTAAGGATGGTTCAAAGATCCTTTCCAAAGCAAGCAACTTCAAACCACCAAACATGCCGGGAGAACGTTTCCACTCCATCAATGTTTCCAGCTTCCATGGCGGAAGATGAAACGTTGCGTGGCCATCTTTCTGGTCATCCTCTCTGCTTTGCTTCTAGGGCATCTTGGCAATATTTGCAGGGGGATACCGGGATACCCTACAATGGCCACTTTATATAATAGGGAAACTGATAGTAAACCATTGAAATTGGCGGTTTTCCCTCTAAGCAGACAAATGTGTGGCTAAGCTGCCTCTACCGGCTAGCCCCCCACAGAATGTTATGGGTGTTTGCATATAGAAAACCAGCGAGCATTGGAGGATTTTGAACTTTTTTTGTTTTATAGGGTTGTTCACTAATATCCCCCATTAGTTCTTTTTGCCATGATGTCACTGTCGGTGAAAAAAATCCTCTTCTTTTGCAAAAGCATAGCCTGTTGTTGTTTGTATCATGCAGTTTTATCCCCATATATCGCCATACCATATCCCCATAAAATGCTTGCTTCAATCCAGAATTTTGAGCAGGAAAAGCTCCAGGGGGGTTCATCCCTTTATTTAACCGGCGGATAGGTATCATGCTTTGGTTAAGACTGGCTGTGGGGTTATCTTTCCGATCATTTCCTGGCCCCATATCATGGTAACATGGATCAACATGATGGGTGTTTTATCTCCATATCCATCATGAAAATACCTCCATTACAACATCTCCATGATATTTCTACATTCCAGTATGTCCCATTTATATTGTTGGTTGTATCATGTTGCATCCCGTGAAATTCCACTAGATATGTCATAATATATCCACACAATATCTTTGTTTTCTCCGTCTCCGGAGTTGGAATTCTTGTCATGGATTTTCACACACGGCAGCTTTCTTCAGCCATTTTCGGTTTGCTGCGACTGGCTCTGCATCCTGCTGCATCCTTGCCAACTGCTTCTGTGAGTTTTCTTTGTATGTTTTTGGTGTCAGTTCAGCATCCCTGTGCGCAGTCATGGTTGGTATGAATTGTTTCGGGGTTCTGTGTATTCGCCACAAGAAGTGCCCGCAACAGAAGGGTTTGGATTGGTGAAGCAGGGAAATTGAAAGCGATGATGTGCATTGTGTTGTCCTTTTGCAGGTCAATATAAAGAGGCTTTCCATTCCAACGCCAAGAGCTTCCTTAAGAAAGAAAGCGCCCTTTTTTCAAAGTTTCCCTTTCAGGCAACTGACAGAGGCTAACGCTGAAGAGTTCCAACCTACTTAGCGACTGGGGAGATTTTTGTCGCCTCTCCTGTGCCTATGTTTTCAGCAAGGAACAAGGGCGCTTTGAAGCCCTATCAAAAGAGTTTAGGTTCAAAGCGTCGTCGGAAAAAGCCTTTTGGCCTTTTGGCCTCTGAAACTCAAACATGTTTCTCTTTCTTTTCCTTTTTTTGGCATCATGTCTTGCACAGCAGGTTAACAAGGGAGACTAAAAGTGCAACATCGTACAACCAATGCTTCCAGGTTGCGCTAGCAAAAACTATCCAAATGGGCAACATAGCCCCCTCGCAAATGACTCTCTGGGTTGTGCGTTTGGTATCCTTTGTTCTTGCTGCATGTGTGGGCCAATATGTCAGTGATGCACGTTGCTCCACATGCTACCAACCGGTGCTTTAGCTGATTTGAGACTGCGTGCAGCCATTGGAAAGCAAATATGGAGAAATGAGTGAAATGAGGTTGTCAAGTCACATAAGACTACGGGCAGCATCCTCAGCAAGAGGACACTCTTGTTTGTGGAAGCACCGACCTTGACCCCATCTACTCGCAAGTCTCCAGTGGTTGGCTTGGGAAGGCATACAACTATGAGAGCCAACAGGCCAAAATGCAGGAGTTCAAGGACCACCGAGCACACAGCAAAATGATCGTTTTCCTCATGGATTCTTCAAGACATGGAGGCAATTCTATTTCGGACCCTTACAAATTTCAGCTGGAGGAACTTTGCCCCAGATTCTTACCATTTTTAGTTGGAAGAACGTTTCACTCGGATTATTTTTCACTTTTTCATTTTCAGTTGGAAGAACAACTCTTTCAAATTCAAGGGAGCTGGGTAATTTTATGTATACATACATATTTATATTATATGCATACAATTGCATACATATCCCAACCAGTCCATCCCGCGACGCAGCTGGTTGATGTTTTCCCCACATCCATCATGCAATGGTATCTCCATAAGATCTTCATTTTATCTGCATGAGAACTCCAATATGTTTCCATTACGCCCCATTGGTTTTATATTTGTAATATCCAACCACTATATACTTCGAACTTCAAAAATATAATGATGTAAGATCAAACCATTATTTATTTTTGTAATCTCCAACCACTAGATATATTATATTTCACATATATGGTTTGATATAATATATGTAATGTCCAACATCCAATTACCATATATTTCAAATCTATCTATATCTATATTTATATCTATATCTATATCTTTGTCTATATCTATATCTATATCTATATCTATATCTATCTAACTAGACCAGTAGGTACAACCTGCCCATTGGACCTATCCCAAGCCGTTGGACTTCCCCATCCGCTCAGACTCTCCACTCAGAGCGGAGCGCTCAATGGAGAATTTGCGTGGCGGCGACCTGGTGGACCTGTCTCGGACTGGCGAGAGTCCTTGGACCTTGCGGTTACCCTCTGGTAAACTAACATAGCTATGGAAAATGGCCATTTATAGTTGATTTACCCATGAAACATGGTGATTTTCCATAGATATGTAAACGTTTACCAGAGGGTAAACTACATAAGGACTCAGCAACCAAAGATACGAAGTCGCTAGCAAAAAAAGTGATTTTATGTGATTGCGATGGACACAGATGACACAGCGGCGAGCCGCGCCTAAAGCCCACCCAGGAAGCCGATTTTGGGTTGGTCACATACCAGTAGCAATGACCAACCTGTTTCAGTACTTTTTGCTACGGAAAATGGCGCGTGTGTAGATGATTGACCCATGAGAAAAACATGGTGTTTGTATGGGCTATATGTTCAAGGACTAGAGGGTATTCTGGCTGTTGACATCACTCCTTTTGCAGGTCGGTGGTTTCAAGGATGGCTATGTCCAATCCTAGCCGGGAGGATGAGGATGATGAGGATGATGATGATGATGATGATGATGACGATGACGATGATGACGATGATTATGCAACCAGCAACCAACAACCAGCAATCAGATCATTGTTGACTAACGTCCCGATGTTGGTTGGTGATGCCTATGATTAGCCCAACAGAAGGTAACACAAAATCCAGTGATTTATTATACTTTTCCCGCATTTTGCCCACAAAGGCTGCCATATTTTTTGGGCCCACCCCACATTTTGAGACACGCCCATTTATGTGGCATCCATGAAGATTGGGCCCACGTGATCAGTGGTCATTCAGGTACTCAAAATGGATCTTCCCTGAAACTGACGCCTTGCATAGACCTCACAGAGATTGAACCCCCAAAATGTGGAGCTCATGTTCTTCCCGTTTCGCCTAGGCCAAAGGTGCCCATGTTGTCCACGGACGCTCCTCAAACCAGCGAAGCCCCTGAAAAAAGCACGTCTGGAGGCAGGGGAGGGTCAACAGTTGAATTCGGGCACTTGAAATGCTTAGGAGATGTTGGGATTGAGATAATTCCAGTTGTGGAAAATTGTGACAACTCACCCAGATTCAGAAAGAATAAGGCTAGAATCAATACATATGAATCACCCTCAGGTTCGGTGTTGAACTGTGAAAAATGATGATTTAACCAACCTACAATGGGGGATTTGCTAATCATAGAATAAGAATATGTGCGTCTTCGGAGTTATCTACCAGCGAAGAGATGCGGTGAATTATCAGAATGTAGCCAGACTTGCCATGTAGATATAGTCGTGATCATAATATATCATAATTAATTATATATATATAATTATCACATTTTCATAGGCATGATGGCCATAAGTTATGATCAATTATCTACTGATTATAGCAATTATGCCATAATCTAGTTGGTCATTATCATTATCTACTGATTATCATTATTATCATTATCTACTGATCAATTATTAGGTTGGTTCTCCATGCCCGTCTCTCTGTCTGAAGGCTCCGATGAAGTGGGAGAGATGCGAGCCATGCGGCAAATTCTGCACGAAATCTGCAGGATCAACCAGTTGAACCTTGGTAAAGTGTGGTGGTGTCCCACTGGGAAAAACACCGTTAAACATGGGAAAAACACCATGGCAAAACATGCAGGGTTTTACAAGGGCAAACAAGGGATTTCTGATTTTAGTGTGGATTTTTTTTAGAAGTTCGGAAAAAGGATCTAAGAGGTAGTTTAGTTTACAAGCCACAGTATAATTTCAGATCTGCCATAAACCATAGTTAACCGAGCTGTGAACAAACTTAGCTGTCGAAGGGGCCCACCTTGTACAATGGAAGTGCATCTACTTTTTGTGTTTTGTGCTATGGTCAAGACATGACAAATTGGGGTTTTACAACGAGAATTAGGATATTATGGGCGATATTATGGAATTTAGAACCAACAAGATGGTTTAATGCAGTACATGTGATGATTATTTTCCGATGAATGTGGCTGGTCATTCCCCCCATGAATGGGGCTTAATATGCCAAGTGTAAGGAATTCCTAGTGATAGTGGGATAACCACGGTACATTTGGCAAGTGGGACATATATAATATTAAATATATAATCGAGTTTGACATGACCCGTTTTAAATGGAATGGACCACCTGCAAATGTATCATAATCCGTTCAAATCCATTCATTGCACCAGAAGAAAGATTTTTTGTTGCGGGTTAGAATCAACGAAAAATGGGATGCACATCGATTCGTAGATGAGGAGTGACCAGTGGTGCACAATTTGTCCACCTCCAGTGTTTGGGAAATGGATCCGGGATTAATTGAGATGTGGTTACATATTTCTGTTACCCTGCGGTAATCAAACATGGCTAGCTGGAAAATACTCGTATCTGGGAATATTTTTCCATAGGATCACACGGTTTAATACCTTAATGTAGAGAGGTTTTCCAGCCGCATTTGCGCATTTGATTACCAGAGGCTGTTCTGGATTCTAGATCATCCATCTGAAATGGGTGCCAAAGACTGCACATCCACCGTCCAACTCATTTATTGGGTCAACACCCGTGATTTACCAGATGAATTAGTTGAAGTATGTTGATATGCATGGTTGATTTAAATATTTTAAATGGATAAATGGTAAATCAATATAAATCACGGTCCAGAGCCCCAAAAGGATTCCGCAACACAATTTCTTGCGAAAAAAAACCTTTGTGTTGCGAAAAAAGGCTTCCATATGCCTCCATCAAAACCAACATTTCACACCATTTCTATTGGTTCACCATCCAATTTTGCTGCTGAAACTCCATGAAACTCCCAATTTCTTGCTGGAAACCCAAGGCCGGAGGCGCGAAATCATTCCTTTCGGGACATGCCGCTGCATCTTCGTGGCTCGGAAAATGCTGAAAAGGTTAGCCCAAAACTGGCTGATTTCTGGCTGATTTTCTGACTGTTTTTTGGGGTAATTTCTGAACGACCAAACGAACCATCCACTGGGTAGTATTCCCATTGTGCATTTGGAAGGGTCTATGTTAGTTGCGGAGGATGGTATATAAGTTGAGTTGTAACTAGATTGACTGTTGGGTCTATGGTGGATGTATCATGATACATCTGGAGTTGGGTGGGGGGAAGAAAAACCAACTTTAATAAAAGGATTCCCACCTTCCGGCTCTTGTGAAACAGACATCATTGGTTTTAACCCATCCAACACATGGGAGTACAATCCCAACGGGCAAATTGACATTTGCCCTTTCTGTGGTGAAGATTAGGTTTCCAGCTCATAGCAATTAGCAACCCCCCCAAAACAGATAGGAAAGCAAACTCCTCTAGTTGGCAAACTCAACACTGAGAAACTTAACTGTGGGCTTGAAGTAAAAACTCGCACTAGTGGAAGTGCCAAAGGTTTTCGGGAAAACCGAAAAGGCACCGCTCAT